AAAAAAAAAAAAAAAAAATTAAAAGGTAATCCTCCTAAATAACCCGCAGTCGTTAGTACTTTCCAATGATAGAGGTTACTACGCGATATTGCATACAACAGGGTTTTAGGTTTTTATTTTTGCTAAACAAATTTTTTCATCAAATATAGACAATGAACAGTTTATCTGTCAAAAAAATTCAAACATCTACAACTAATTAGAGCAATGCATAGTAAAAAGACTAGTAGTTTTTATTCAGCGGTTTCATCAGACATTTCAGGATTCCTTAAATAAAATCAACTGTGTATGACATTTTTATTTTTCAGCACAAGTGAGAACAACGTTTGGACAGTAGAATTTTATGATACACCACCGTTCACTGACCTTGGGCGCCTAAAACTAGGCATATTTTTCTCTTTCCACGCGTTAAATTCTTCCTGAAATAAAACTTTATGTCAGATCGCTTTCCAGGACATGGTATATGATACTCTTGAATTACTACGTTTAGCTGAAGCGTTTATGATTTACACATAGCAGTTTACAATAAAAAGATTTTTTTTAAAAACAAAAACTATTGAATTTACATCAAATTTCAAATTCTGCTTATTTTTTAATGTTGCTTTCTATACCTTTTGGTGTTTAAAATGGTGCTCCTCTAATTTATTATGCTGTTCTCCGTAGTGAATCCACTCCCCCCTCCCTTAAAGATAAGCTATTTTTGCCTACTTACAAAAAACGCGTTTATTTTGTCTCTGGAAGTAAATCACTGAATGCAACAAGCAAACAGCGGAGATGTATCACTGTGTGTTCATAAGACCGGTGTTTTTCAACTTTTTTGCAAACTTCTACCTTTTTTTTTGTTCAATTCTTGTCAACTGTCTGATTGACATTTTTATTTTTTTGCTCAAAACAATCATTGCTTCAGTCTAATCAAGTCGACAACTGAAATAGTTCAAGTGTTCTTTGTTAATGCATCGAAATGCACATAAAGAAATTAAGAATTTTTAGCGATGCATTAAGCCTTCTGTTGTCTTTAAACCCCTACAGAGTTTCAATATTTTATCGGTTAATACTACATAAAATAATTAGCTAAATTAAAGACTATGTTTTAGCACTTTTAACGCTTATAGCACCAACACACATTTCGCCAAACTCGGCTTTAACCGCTTTCGTTAGTGTTACATCTTCAAAAATAGTCGAGGTTTTAAAAACCTTTTTTATAGTATCCAATAGTAACTTAAAAACGTTAACTTCTTATTACCAACGTCTTTTTGAAACAGACAGATAAAAAAGCGTATTTCTGTTATTTAGAAGCTCAGAAGGTATTCCAAAATCCTGTTTTAGCTTTCAAAAAAAAAAGAAAACATTTAAAAAAATGTTCCTTCTCTCAAAAAAATTATATAAACAACTCAAATGTGTCAGCTTCAAGTTCTCGATCAAATGTGATAAGGTGAAAAAAGTAAATAAACGAAAGTGTCAGTGAACAGACTTTTCGAAAGTGACTTTTGCGTTGAGATATTTATTTAGTGTTAAAAAAAATTTCAAATTAAGTATTATAAATGTTTACCTTAATT